TCTCTCTCTCTCTCTCTCTCTCTCTCTCTCTCTCTCTCTCTCTCTTTCTCTTTTGTAGTAATATCTTTGTCTCTGTTTCACTCTCAATCACGAGCAAACATTGCTACGAAAATAACCTGAGCTAAGCGCACACGTGCCACGCCACCACAATGGGGCAAATATTGTAACAGAAGAGAATATAAAAACAAACTAATTATAGAGCATTTCCTATAGAGAGGGTTAACTTGAAAAAGTTCCACAGACCAAGTAGGTCAGCATTGCGCCCCCCAATCGAATTGGAGAAAAACTTTGCTTTGCTTTTAGCGTGCTAATTATATTACTATAGCTAAGCTCTTTATATTTCGACCTAGGTCATAATTCCCATTCTAGGCAGCATTTGCATTCCATTTTGTGTGATATTCGTGAATGGAAAAACTTTTGTGTTTATACTCCTCCCATCTTCTGTTCAATGTGGTAAAGCATTATGCTCTATGATCTACCGATCGTTACAGTTTTTTTTATATTTTCTTTATGAATAATCGTGAATGAAACAAATTTTTTATTTGCTTTCGATTTTCCTCTGCTCTTTGCGCTATTCCTTCATAGACAAACCTTAGACCTTCTCTTCTCTCTTCATTTCTATATTCTCTTCTCTCTATCAATGTTCCCGTTTTTCGTATCGATCCACTTTTCTTTGCTTCATATACGTTAATGAAAAGGGAAAATATTATTGGCTCTTCAAATATATTAATCTATATTCCCTTCTTTATGCAATTTTTACAAAATAGTCCGCGATTACTCTCTCAACTCATTCAGATTGGATTCCATACCTCTTCTGTTTCATTTCACAGTTTAACCTATTTTTATTTTTTTTCGCCTGCCTTGCCTGATTTTGCCCCACTGTACAATGACAATGGCAAAGCAAGCGGCATACTTACAAATGTATGTAATTACAGTTAAAGGCTTTTTGATGTCCTAGTTGATGGCTCTTCGATGTGAGGAGCCACTCAGGCCCTGACTTAATTATGCAAGCGTGTGTGACTCCCACTCGCCTCCACTGCCAGCAGTTGTCCTTAATTCAATTACAATATATATATTATGCCATTGCCTGACCTCTTGTGCGAAAAAGTTAAGCAAACTTGTTCGCTCACTCTCTCACCCCCTCTCTCTGTCTCTTGCAGTAACCCCGAATCATGGGCCAAAGATAACGGGCGGGCAGCCGCGCTACCAAATCGGCGACATTGTGCGCGTCAATTGCACCTCGGCACCGTCGAAGCCCGTCTGCCACCTGAGCTGGCTGATCAACGGGGAGCCGGCGCAGAAGCAGCATCTGAAGCAGTACGACAAGATTGTGATGAACCGGGATGGCCTGGAGATGGCGCGCCTGGGCCTGGAGTTTCGAGTGCGGGCATTTCACTTCAAGAATGGCGACATGAAGCTTAAGGTAGGTCAATTGCCCAATCTGAAAGAGTTTGTCTAATTCGATCTGTTTCCCGCTGCAGTGCGTGGCCAAGATCAGCTCGCTCTACTGGCAGAGCAACGAGGAGAGCGTCGAGAGCGATCGCCAGCAGCGAGCACCGGCCCTCGAGTCGCGCGAGACCGTGGCAGCCAAGTCGAGCACAATTGGTAAAACTGCCGAGAAGAGGCAGACTGAGATATTCAGTGCATCTAGAGGTCTAACGGTATTTATATTTTTGCAGGTGCTGCCGCCTCGAGACAGCCCTCGCATCTCATCTCGCTGCTGCCCGCGGTGCTGCTGCTCTTCGGCGTCGTTGGATCTTGGAGCTGGCCACCCGAGTGCGTTGGAAGTTAACTAGGCACAGTAGACACTCGCAAAGCTGGCCACTTGCATCTTGCTTAAGGGCAGCAGCTTGACATCATGTGCAAGCCAACAAAATTCTTGTGGAAAAAAGAACGAAAAATAAGCAAAAATAAAACATATCCTATGCCAAATTTCATAGAAAAAAAATGCGCAAATTGCGCTAATTATAAAAGAGAAAAAAGAAAACTTTCATTCAATCGATGTGTATGGAATAAAAACATAAAAAAAAAAACTAATCGAAAATCTTTCAAAATTAGAAAATTAATATGAAAACACATGAAATACTCAAACACTTCTCTTGTAACTAAAAACTATTTACACGAGACGTAAAAACTACTCAACCTAAGCATTTAAGTAAAACTTAAACATTTTGTAAATATTAAGTGTTAAATTTAAGTCAGAAAAAAAAACATAAAGAAGCAAAAAGAACGTCAATGAAATGTTAAATTAAATGAAAAAATCTACAAAAATAATTATAATGAAAATATAATTTTCATTTAGTGTAAAGATTAGTCCATCAGTTGATGTTGAATTGGAGAAGGGGAAAATCAGCAAAAACTCTGTAAAATATATTTTTTTAAATTAAAATTCTAATCGATTTGACTATGATTTTAACTCAACTCAATTATAAATATATATATATATATATATTGTGTTATCCCTACCTTTCCTAGGATTCAACTGCATTTAGAGCATATCAAATTTTATCATATTTCAATTGTATAAAATGCACCTCACTTCGACTTAAACATATTCGAAATCTTCTAAAACGCAACTTTAATATAAATTATAACTAATAGGCTAAGCCAGCACCCAAATATCATAGTCAACTAGTCATAGATAAGGTCTCGACTTAAGATATTGTAAAGCCAGCCCATTTATCAAATTCCAATGCTGTTCGAGATGGGATGATGAAAACCCAAGCAGAACACAAAAACTCTAGCTGTAAATATCAACAGAAATTGTTCAAGCAAACAAAAATATAACAGAATTCAAATTACAAAAAATAAAATAAATAGTAAATTAAATAAATCAAATAAAATAAATTCAATTAAATAATGTCAAGCTGCACAAGTAACTGCTGTATGCCATAGCCAAAGGCCTGAGCAGAGTGAGGTCTCTTAAGAGACTAGA